TGCCCCATGCAAGTTGGCAGAGCCAGGTCTTTAGCCCTTTCCGTAAAGCCGGGAGGGTAGGAGGCCGCCACACCTCAGGGAGGAGAATATTCCAACGGCTGAGAAGGCTCTCCTTCTGAATCCCACCAGCCAACATTCTCTTGCTGACGGGGTCCACAACATGCCCTCTCTGCCTGACTGGGTGGGACTTATGGTTCTTATATGGTTCTGGCTGGGGAATTCTGGGAGTTGAGGTCCATATATCTTAAAATTCCCAAGGTTGAGAAACACTGATATAAACCCTACTGTTAAGCTAAAGACCTTTGCCACAGCTTGCTTCAATATTTGCAATGAAATGACCCCTTTCATTATATTTGAGGGCAGCAGGCTAGTAGTTTAGGAGACTAAAACCCACTGGACAAGCTGACCACTGAAGTCTGCCTGAATAGTGGGACTGGAATGATTTCAGAGGTGAAACTTCTCAGCCATAGCCATATTTGCCAAAGAATGAGACTGTCCCTAGTATTAGGTAGAAAAAGACAGCTGTCAGAAGCAGCATGTTTCTGATTTCATAAAAGGGCAACACGTTATTTGCAGTTTATTATTGTTGATATTCTTCCTATTGCCAAGAACGAGGAGCACGAGTTGTCTATTTCCTGTCCTGTATACTGGAATAATGCGGCTGGCTTTGCCCATTACACTTTTGGGCTTACAGAAAGCAGTCTTGTTTATTATTTATTTATTAATTGAGGCCACCCAGCTCCAAAATGACTCTAGGCAGCCTTGGGCTGATGCTTCCAGATTGAATCCAGCATCAAACACGACACAAACACTGAAAGATAATTCTCTCTAATCCCATTGTATCCCCTCTTTCCTGCACCAAAATCACAATCTTCCCAATGCAGTGTTTCTCAAACCTAGCAACTGTAAGATGCCTGGACTTCAATTCCCAGAATTCCCCAACCAGCATGCTGGCTGGGGAATTCTGGGAGTTGAAGTCCAGACATCTTAAAGTTGCCAAGGTTGAGATTTTTAATATATCCCACTTCTCCTCCACCACAGATATTACAGGGTATGATATTACAGTACAAGCATTGTTCTCCATCACTGCTACATTATACATGAAGGCTAAGTCCTGTGATTTTCTCCCTAGCTGTTGGCAGAATGAGTCTAGATTTAACCATACCTAGCATAAACCTGCTGAAATGTTCACTCTATCAATTTTTCAGGTTGCTCTTTTCTTTGGTAAAACAGGCAATCCTACTTGAGTGACATTTTAGAAATACCTGTTTCTCAACATGAAGATGTTAGCAGCTTTGCACAATAATTTTGTTCAAAGGGTTTCCAGACTGTAAAAAACCAGCATCACCTAAAAGGTTTTCCTCTTCTCTAAATCGGGTTGCTGAAAAAGATCATTTGGGGCAACCCCCAGGAAGGGACTGATTTTGTGACAGGATCTGTAACTTTCTTCCATTAGGAAAGCTGAATTGGCATTGCCTGTTCTCCGCATCCAGTTTCTACTGAACTCAGCTACTTAGCCCCATCTGTTGAACTTCTGCAACTCTGGACAAAAATAATCTGCCTCTTTTTGCTCTGAGTCTGTCCTCCTAGAAATCTTACTTTAGTCATTCGCTTCGCCTTAAGGGTCTGAACTGGGGCCACAGCCACATACCTGGAGTGAAACATGGCATCCAAGAAAAGCAGATCAACAAGCAGAAGCATATGGCCATTTCCTTACGGTTTAGGGACCTTGCCAAGGTATAACCAGATCCGGCATTTTCCGCTCCTGCGCCAGGAGCAACTCCATACTCAGGAGGAATGAGAGGAAGGGTTGTTTGATGGTGAATACAAGGTCCCCTTCACAGACCTCACAGGTTATTAGCTGCTACTGGAGGCACCTAGGCAGTGACAGCAGCCGCAGTCGCTCCTCTTCCACGTTCATCTGCACTGCTTGGAAAGGTGTGGCTAATTTGGGTTCAGTAATAGGTTTGGGCAATTTCATTCTGGTATTTTCCTACAGGTTATGCAACTGACCTCGTGAGAGAGGGAAGGGAACACTTGGCAGTCGAGGCCTGGCGATGGTGCAATCAACAACCTGAGGGGAAACTGACTTAAGTGGGGCTTAAGAATTCCTCCAAATTCAGGAGCAGACGTTTTTATTGCTTTGCAAAGCCGGGAAACGCCAACCCTTTCGTCTGCTTTCGTTCGGCTTTACCCACTGACAATCTCAGTCATGGGTCCCCTGGCGAGAGCCCAACTCCCTAACAGGCCCACACCCTTCTGCTAATCTTATATACATTACTTCCAGTTTAATAATCCTCTTCATTACGTCTTGATGACAGGTTTACGGGCTGAGTTGCAAACAGGTCAGAGTTACCGCCTATGGATCTATTCCTCCCATCTGGGGCAGCCATCTATATATACATTGTTATGAAAACAAAATACGCCCTAAAATGTCCCTAGAAGACAGGGCTTGGTTTTGAAAGTGAGTTTTCCATACAGTGTTTCTCAACCTTGGGCGCTTGAAGATGGGTGGACTTCAACTCCCAGAATTCCCCAG